TAATATAATATTAACATTGTTATTAATAATGTGTTGGTAATATATAATAATACTGTTACATATAATAATATAGTATTTTATGTACTGATATATATATTTATACATATGTATATGTAAACTTGTTATCTACATCAGGAAGTAGAAGTGCCGATTTTTAAGAAATGCTATTTTTAAGCCTTTCCTATTGAAACCCAATTTTCCCTGAATTTCTGCAGTATAGAACTGAACGTAAAGTATGACATAGCCTTTTTTTTTATCTTCAGTTTTTGCAAGATACGCTAGATGCACTTTTTAACATAATGATGGAAATGTCGGACAACTTAAACCTGCCTAATTTCCCAGTTTGATGCACTGGTAAGCAGTTTTATTCTTGCAACTGGGTGGTTTCCAGTATCTCACTATTATAAATGACTGCAACGAATATTCTCCTGCATAAATACTTGTATACATCTCTCTGATTGTTTCTTTAGCCTAAATTCCTAGAATTTAAATTAGAAACAGCTTACTTTTGTACCCTCCGGGCTTCAAGTGGCTCAGTCGCCGGAGCCGCCTGACTCCCCGGCTCAGGTCATGATCTCGTCTGTGAGTTCGGAAGCCCGGGCTGCCGGGCTCTGGTGCCGACAGCTCAGAGCCCGGAGCCCCTCCGCTTCCAGATTCTGTGTCTCCCTCTCTCTCTGCCCCTTCCCCGCTCATGCTCTGTCTGTCTCTGTCTCTCAAAAATGAATAAAGTTAAAAAAAAATTTTTTTTAATTGCCTAATTATAGGGGTGCCAGGATGGCTCGGTTGGTTGACTGTCTGATCCAGCTCAGGTCATGTTCTCACAGTTCATGAGTTTGAGCCCCGTATTGGGCTCTCTGCTGTCAGTGTGGAGCCTGCTTTAGATCCCTTTCTGACATCTCCTCTCTCTTCCTCCCTGCTCCATCTTCTCTTCTCTTCAGAAAACAAGGCACCTTTGGGGTGCCTGTCCAGGTTTGCCAAGCCCCTGATTTTTGACTCAGGTCATAGTCTTGTGGTTCATGGGTTCGAGCCCTGCATCGGGCTCTGTGCTGACAGCTCAGAACCTGGAGCCTGCTTCGGATTCTGTGTCTCCCTCTCTCTACCCCTCCCTCCCTCCGTCTCACTCTCTCTCTATCTGTCTCTCAAGAAATAAACATTAAAACAAATTTTTTTTTTAATTACCTAATTATAAGCCAGGAGATACCAGGATGATCGTGGCCGTGTTGTGTGTTTGCACAAGGGAGACTGAATTCTTACATCAGAAATGAATTATCAGTCTCATTATGCACAACACATAGCACAGCAGACAATTAAATAGGCCACACCAAGTACTTAAACATACAGCGCATTCCAAACCCTGAGATCTAGACAGTGAGAGTTGATGTTAAAATCTTGGAAGGGCGCAAATCGTACTGGAGTGGAGGAAGCAGTCCCATCCAAACCAAGCATTGTTTTCTCATTGTTGAGGTGAAAATTCTATGTAGATTTATACCTGGATGTTGCAGCAAAGGAATAATAGGTATTGCACCAGCTTGGAGAAATTGATAAGTTCCAGAAATGATCAGGGTGTTAAAGATGTAAGATCTTAAAGAGAATAAAAGCTACAGCGAAGTTCACACCTGGCCAGATTTATGGGAAAGAATGGTTGTGGGTTCTAGGGGACGAGGTCTAAGGTTCTCCTGGGACAGAGCAGCTGGCAGCAGTTGGTTATATGCAGGCATCCCCCGTGGTTTGCATTCTTCTGTGTTCGGTAGGTGCAGTGTGGTTATTTGTAGATTACATGCCTGATAGCAATAACGGTGACAGAAGAAGGAGAAATTGAGAGGCACCTCTGATGAAGTTCAGTTCTTGAGGGCACTCGTGCTGCACTCAGGACAACTAGGTCATGGAATATTTCAGTAGCTGTATCCTTGGGTTAGAGTTTATTTTTCCCACAGGATTCCCCTTTCTGCATCTTCTGACTCTCCCATTTTTTTTCCCCCGACTCATGTTGCTTGCGCACTGGCCTTTCTTTAAGACAGTGAGCTCTCTGAGGCCAGGGACGCTGGCTCTTATTAGGTTCCTCAGAGCATTTAGCTCAGTGCCTGACACGTGATCGTTTCTCTATTGACGTTAAATCAAAAGAAACTCCAAGACTTCACTTCAGCTTTGGAAGAGTAGAGTGGGAACGCTACAAAAATGGTCAAGAAAGAAAAGAAGGCACCAGGATGTTAACAACCAGCTTATTGACAGAATGCCTGGGGCCGTACAGCGCTGCTATTCATATTTTTTGCCTTTGGCAGGTATTTATTATTTCACTGATTGGAGACATCAAGTTCCAGCATTTTAATCCTGTCCTTGAAACCTACATTTACAAGCACTTCAGTGCCACTTTGGCATACGTGTAAGTATTCAGGGGAAATACCTGACTATTCAGTTGGAACCACCTGGATTATTGGGTTTACACTCTTAGGGCTGGGTTGTTAAGAAATGAGAGGGATATAAGCTAAGTAAATGTGCCCCTAAGTGCAGAACCTTGTTCTGAACTTGCAGGTGGAAAGAGGAAACCATCTAAGTATTCCAACCCTGGTAAAGGTATTAAATTCAGTCCCTGCCTTCTGGCAAGTTCCAGAAGAGATAAGGCCATGTTTCTTGAAGAATCCAGAACATACGTAGGTGAGGAGTTGAAGCCACTGGGAACACAGTCAAGAACAGAGATCATACTCAGGATCTTAGGAGAGTTGGGTGGCATTGGGTTTAGCATGAAACCCCAAGGGGATCAAACAGTGGATTAAGCAAGACTAAGTCTGGGAGAACTGAGGATGATGCCCTCACCCCTACATCACAAGTGCTTTGTAGATTTCATTACTTACAGGATATGAGAAGATACCATTTTTCTTTTATACAAAGGAAAATGGTGTCTGCCTTTCCCATAATGCAGCCTCCTTTCTGTCTGGTTTATGGGCTCTTGACTAAGGAAAGCACCTGCCATTCAGCTCACCATGGCATTGTATGTGGCCTTCACCCCCACCCCCTCACATTCCAGTTGTGCCAGGAGATGTGATAAAGAGTGACAGGCATGTCACTAAGATCGTCAGAGATCTCTCTGACAGTGGCTTCTGCCAGGTCATGCCAACTACTGTTGCCGATCTATCGGTTTGACTGCTGACCTGATTCGCCAGGTCGGATCATAGATCCCTTATGTCCTTTCTGAGCTAAACAAGAAGGTTCTTGGTTTTATTGGCACGGAGGTCCAGAAATGTTATAAAACATAAATGACAGAAAAGAGGTGTTATGTGGCAAATTCACCAACCAGCACAACGGACATCGTGCCCACTGGATGGGGAAAAGCCGCAGATGGGCTCGTGATAGGTTTCTTTCCATCCAGTAGCCTCCCTTTCCAAGCGGGTAGTACCTGCAAGGGAGGAAATCCTACCACTGGATCTTCATTACACAGAGCCAAATGCAGCACTCCTGGATGTAGTAATCTGGGTTTGATTTACAAGGCTTCGTCAGCTCTACATGTGTGCTGTGGATTTTTCCTAGTACTACAAAAACCCAGAGATTTACAGAGGGGCCAAAATATCCATGTCCTCAAACGTGGGAGTTAGAAAAAGATGTAAGAAAATGCCTCGCCTCAGACAAAGAGCAGTCTGACATCTGAGCATGGTTCTGTCTGTTGGGATGCTCAGAAACCATGGGTATTCTCATCAAACTGAGCCCGAGTCCGATTGAGCTTCTCCCGCAGTCACTGGAGTGTTGCTCTGGCCCCATTTTGGGGATCCCAAAGAGTTGAGGCACACTGGAGAGAATCAGACTTCTTGCAGGGTGACTACGTTAGGCAGATAGTCCTTTCCTTACAGGAATGACTGAAGATGTCTGAAGGGCACCCTGGAGATTAAAATACCTTCATGATTTCAAATGCCTTCACTTTCATTTCTTGATCCTGTTAAAAAATCCTACAAAGCGAAAGAAACCATCCCCTATTTCTTTTTTTTTTTTTTAATTTTTTTTTTCAATGTTTATTTATTTTTGGGACAGAGAGAGACAGAGCATGAACGGGGGAGGGGCAGAGAGAGAGGGAGACACAGAATCGGAAACAGGCTCCAGGCTCTGAGCCATCAGCCCAGAGCCTGACGCGGGGCTCAAACTCACGGACCGCGAGATCATGACCTGGCTGAAGTCGGACGCTTAACCGACTGCACCACCCAGGCTCCCCACCATCCCCTATTTCTATGCATAAGGGAAGCTCCAAACCCAGCAGCAGTGAGGAAACAAAGCTGCAGATGAATTTTATTTCCCTGCTCAGGGCCTTTCCTAGAAGAGATAATAGTAGCTGTGACCTCTGCTTCCACAGTATGCCAGGTTCCCTTCCTAGATAGCATCCCCCAAACCTGAGTACCACTTGGCCCCATTGACATCTTTTTCTTTCTCACCTTTTTAAGGAAACTCTCCAAGGTACTGAACTTCTATGTGGCTAATGCAGAGGACTCCAGCAAGACAGAATTGCTTTTTGCTGCTTTGAAAGCCCTAAAGTACTTGTTTAGGTTCATCATCCAATCGAGAGTACTCTACTTGAGGTAATGGTAGCTGTAATAAGATGTGCATGCTGTCTATTGTCTCTTCATGGACTTGTCCTTAATTCTCACGCTCATGTTCAGCTCTGCGAGTCATGGTTGGCTCATGGAATTGCCAAATTTCAGAACTTCAAGGCTGAAGATGGAGGTAGACCCTGAAACCCCTAGAGAAGGCCTGCGCCAAGTCCTTCCGAGTCAGAATTTCTAGGGCAGTAATGACAACAGGACTTGGGGATGCGGGTGACTACAGTGTGCAGCTTGGTGAAAACCTTGGTTGGCGATGACAGCTCTAGGAAACAAGGTTCTTGTGGCAAGACTACCTTTAGCACAGTAAAGGACTTCGTGATGATACCGGGTGTACAAATCTAGGATCGTGAGCTCTTGTTGGTGGTGGATGGTGAACGATGGCAGATGTCTGGGGGAGATGTTGCCTCAGGTGTGTGTTTCTTTACTGACGTCATGCTTAGCTAGGTGATGAAACTAAGCCACAGAGATAGGATAATTCACACCTTGAATTTCTAGAATAACAGCTCCGTCAAAAATAGCCAAGACGAAGAATGAGAAAATAACTTCTCTGGGAATGCCCACAGCCCCGTGCCATTTCTGCCTTTCAGTAATTGCAGGATTTCCAAACTGTTAAAATATATTGTTAAGACAGGTTTGGAAACTGGACATATAGCATGCTAAAATGTTATTTGGAATAACACTGTAGGTAAGAGGGTTTCAAGTCTAGATTTGAGCATTTTTGTTGTTTTTTATATGATATGTTTAAAAAATCATAAAACTAAAGGCAAACAATTACCATTTAAAAAGCTTGTGACATACTGTATAGGTCAAAACGTTTAATTAGCTTTACTAGTGAAAGGCTCTTATCAGTCAACAAAAGAATGATCAACACCCTTGAATAATAGAAAACAAAAACAGATAATTTACAAGAGGCAAATTCAAATGGTAAATTAAATTTCTTAAAAAATAGTCACAATATCAAAATGCTATCTATACACACACACTATTCTTATCTATACAATTGATAAAGATTAAAAATCTTTATCCTTTGATGAAGTTGGACAAAAATCGGTCCTGCATTTTAATGCTGATGGGAATGTAAATTTATTAAGGGCAGAAATGTGGCACCATGAATGAAAAGCAAAAACAAAACAAAAACCACAAAAAGCAAAAGAAAATACCACGTTGGTTACTAATAGCCCATCTAAGAATTTATCTGATGGAAAGAAATCCATCAGGTAGTGAACAAAGATGAATGATAAAATATGTATATTCAGCCCTTTAAAAAAATGTTAATGAGGAAAGATAACGGTGTTCTTAAATAATAAAACTAAGGCATAAGACATAAGTGCAATATGATCCCATTTCAAAAATATAATAGGTTCAGAAACTGAAATTTTAATAGGAATAAAATTGTAGGTAAGAGGGTTTTAAGCAGGCTGTTTTTATTCTCTCTGCCTTTTTAAAGTTTCTGCAGTGGTTTTGTACATTTTTATACTTTTTATTTATTTTTTTTTTTAATTTTTTTTTCAACGTTTTTTATTTTTATTTTTTTATTTTTGGGACAGAGAGAGACAGAGCATGAATGGGGGAGGGGCAGAGAGAGAGGGAGACACAGAATCGGAAACAGGCTCCAGGCTCCGAGCCATCAGCCCGGAGCCTGACGTGGGGCTCGAACTCACGGACCGCGAGATCGTGACCTGGCTGAAGTCGGACGCTTAACCGACTGCGCCACCCAGGCGCCCCTTTATACTTTTTAAAAACGCTTAATGACTTAAAAGTTCAGCTGGGTGAGAGACAGTTCCTCCTTCCCTAGCAGAAGAGAGCAGGGTTTACCCAAACCCTGGATTATACACAATCTCTTTAGTCTCTCTCTCTCTCATCAGACAGGCTTCCTTTATAGCTAGTTCCTTGTATTTTGCAATTATGTTGAATTTCCACAAATTCAGTTAGGGCCTGGAGTGTCCCACTGAGGGAGCATTCCCTTATAGGAAAGTTTGTGCAGTGAACTCTGATGTCCAGCAACGAAAATCATCATAAAACCATAGAAAGAAAACCGTAATTTATGAAATTGAGAAGTTTTTTCCACTGATGATTCACTAGGGTGCCGCCCCTGACTGACAGTGTTGCAGTGCATCGAAACCATCCTTTTCAACATCATGTAGGAAGAGAACAGTGGAAAAGCCAAGATTAGTGTGGTCAAGTAACCCATGAAATTAACTAAGGGAGTTGCTGTGTTGAACTTAGTCCCTGAGCACCTGTTTATAGTTGTTCCCCTCCATCCCGCTGATTTTTTCTCATTAAGGAAGAACTTGACCTGAGAGAGAGAGCCTAGAAATCTACATTCTCTGGCTGCTTAGATCTGATAGACACATCAGTTTACTGGCCCTGTCCAGGAGCTGCAAAAGAAATGTCACCACACCTCCACCTCCCACCCTGTTTGCCCTCATCAGAGCTTACGTTCCTCTTCTGAGCTCACTTCCGGGCTGAAGTTTACCTCCATTGGGGAGACACCTGGGGAGAATTAAAACTGTAAATTGCCCACCGTAGGGCACTGAGAACTCCATCTTCATCCCTCGGTCTTGTATTAGCCCCCCCTTTTTTTAAGTGCTGGCGCATAGGGTGCCAAATGTTGCTCTGGGTGTTGGAGATCTAGCAGGGGATGAAACAAGGCTCCCGCTCTGACAGTGCTTGTGGGTTGTGTGGAAGCCAGGAAGGCAGAGTGAAGAAAGACAGCGAAAGATAAATTCGGATAGGTAAGGGCTGACAGGGGAGGGGCTGGTGAGATGATAACCTGGGAGGGAGGGAGGGAGATCTCTCCAGGGGTTGGTGTTTGGGTTGAGACTGAACCGGGAGAGGCGGCCTGGGCAGGAAGAGGCGTGCAGGAGCGGGAACTGCTAAGGCCAGGGTCCTGTGGGGCCTGTGTGAGGAGTCAGGAGAGGCCAGTGTTGCTGGAGCAAGGGGAACTAAGATGGGAATGAAAATGCGGAGTGGCAGGCTAAGGACAAACAAGGAAGGGCCAGGTAAGCCGTGGTCGGGAGCTTGGATTTCCTCCCAAGTGGAATGGGAAACCGTCGAAGGGTTTCAGTCGGAGAAGCAGTGAAATCTGGCTTACGTTTCCAGGGATCCTCTCATCTCCTAGGTGGAAAGTGGATTATCAAGGGGGGGAGACGCATGGACCGCCAGCGTTGCTGAGGCAACAGATCTTTTTGAACATGTCTTTTTAAAGACGGAAAACCTGACTGCTTTCCTCTTTCCCTTGTTAAGATTTTATGGCCAAAGCGAAGATGGAGACGAATTCAATAATTCAATCCGCCAGTTGTTTTTCGCTTTCAATACGCTAATGGACAGGCCTCTGGAGGAAGCTGTCAAGATCAAGGTCAGTGTGGTGTAGCACGGGGGCCCCTTTCAGTGCTGTTGCTGAGGATGCTCGGTGACAACACAGACTGGGCCATGGTGGGGAGAGAAACAAAGTGAATCATAATTCGTGGAAAGCTAGTGAATTTTAGTATGACTAAGGAAAGCTGTTAAGGGAAAAGCCTGTGTGTTAACTTTTATGTACATTTGTGTTCTCAAATATATTCTCAAATGGCAGTTTGCCAAAGACCATCCTTTGAGGGGCTCCTGGGTGGCTCAGTCGGTTAAGCGTCCGACTCTCAGTTTCGGCTCAGGTCATGATCTCATGGTTTCATGGGTTCGAGCCCCGCGTCGGGCTCTGCATGGACAGTGCAGAGCCTGCTTGGGATTCTCTCTCTCTCCCCCT